TGGCCAGCACAACTTTGAACCTTCCTGTCGGCCATGAGAACACTGTCCCAGCCTGAGAGCAGAAGCTGGGTGTGGAATCTAGACCTGGGCACCACCTGACCCTAAAGCCCTAGGAGGTACATTCTCCTAAACCTAAATAATGTCCAAGACTCCTGGCTTCACACTCTCAATATCTAATCTATGGTCAAAAGCTACTTGCATCAGGGACACCTCAGCCCAAACGAGAGAAGAAACAATCAGAGACTCCAACACGGGATACCACAAATGTTGGGATCACCTGACCAGGGTTTTACAGAGCCATCATGAAAATGCTTGCATAGTTTCAGGAGCACTTGAAACATTTTAGCGAAATGAAGCGACTTCTAAGATTCAGATGGGGATTTTTGAAAGGGCAGATGCAATAAACAAACACAAAATCAATAGGGGGCTGAAAATTAAGAGAGAATAATACACTTCAGGTGGAAATAACATGATCTGGATGAGAGAGAGAAAACAGGGTGCTGTAGTGGAGTGACAGAGTCCTCAGGTACCTGGGGGTGGAAGATGAGGGAACATCTAAATTCATATCATTAGAATCCCGGGGGAGGGGGATTCTGCTTCAAAGCACCTGCGAGAGATGAACACATCCTCACAAAACTGTGTAGAAGCGCTCCGTGCAGCGGTGCTCACATGCCCGGCAGAGAGTGCAAACATCCACCAAGTGATTGTAGGTGATGGAGCACAGAGCATCCCTCTGATGCACTGGTGTTTGCTCCTAAGAACGCAGTGCTGATGTGTACTGTCTGTGAGAGACCTGTAACATGGGCTAAGCAGAGGCCAGACAAAAAAAGCCATCACCCTGGGACATCACTCCTGCGAAATACCCAGAAGAAACAACTCTTCAGAGGCAGAACCGTAGGGTAGCGGCTGCATGTGTGTGTGTGTGGGGGGGTGAGGTTAGGGCAATAGAAGAAGCCTGGCCTGACCGCGAGTGGATGGGGCTTCTCCTTGGGGTGAGGAACGCCCCTGCGCTAGCTGCAGTGTGAGTCACAGAGTTCCGTTACTTTACTAAGAACCACTGAGGTATCTATTTTAGATCGGGGAGCCATATGTTCCACGCACACACCTTAACATAACTCTCGACTGTTAATAAAAATAACAAAATTCAGCATACACAATCCATGTGGTCTACGTAACACAACATCCTAGAGCAAAATATTTACCTGTGTATGTTCAATCTGTGCGAAGCACATGCGGTATGAAGCCGGGGAGCAAGCACGCTGGGCGGCAATGCCAGTTTCTCTGCGCCTCTGTGCGCTGGCTGCAGTCTCCAAAACAACTGGGATTTTTTTAACTCAACTCTTTTTTTTTTTCAAAGCATAAGTAACAGCAGCTGCTGAACTTGTTTTTCTTCCTATGGATTGGTTCACAGTAAACTATTTCATCTGCTTTGCGGTTCGTGTACACCCTGCTTTGGTTTTCCGTGTGTCTGTCTTCCATCGTCTTCATTTGGAGGAGCCCGTGACTAATTGCAGTTGGCCTATCTCTCCCATTGCTCACACCACGTCACTGAGGCCGTGTCCGCTGAGTGAGTAACCGAGACCGTGGCTGACTCACTGGACAGCTGACCCCCGAAGGCGGGAGTCTAGAATAGACTCAGTGCCTTAAGGGACAGCACTGTCGTCAGCACATGCCCGTGGGAAGAGCTGGTTCTGATGATGAGCCACCTGGAAAACACTTTGTCTTATCACTGCTGTGATGCTTACCTTTGATTACCGACTTGACGCAACCGTGTAGGAAGAGGACGCTATACTCTCTCTCTCCCTCCAGACCTCTTCTTCCCCTCTCATAGTCAGGGAAAAAAACCCAGAAGCTCACAGTTACTCAAGGTCGACCGAGCACTCGCAGGGAGGATGGGTGAAAAGGAAGTTAGGACCCACAAATGAAGATGCCAAAAATGTGACTCAAGGCAGCAAAATTTAGAGTCCCTTGTCAGTGTTTGCTGCAGATTAGAAAGAACAGGAGAAAGAGGGAGAGAGAGAGAGAGAGAGAGAGAGAGAGAGAGAGAGAGAGAGAGAGAGAGAGGAGTGAGAAAGAGCGAGAGAGCAAGGCACCATGAAGAAGAAATGAATTACCAGAATTATCTTATCCTAGCTGATACAATGTCTCTCTCTCCTTCTCTTTTTATTTATTCTCTGAGAATTTCATACACGTATACAATGAGATACAGCCACTCTCTGTTATCCCCCAACTCCCCTGAGTCCTCCCAACGTGTCCCTCTCCCAAATTTACATCCTTAAAAAAACCTCACTAAATTAATACAATCCATATGCGCATGGGTGGGGGCCATCCACTGGAGAAGGGTGACCTACTAGTGGCCACACCCCAATAAGAGTGACTCTCCCCCTACCAGCAGCGATCAATTGCCAAAAGTTCCTTGGTTAGGCTAGGGCTGCCGTGTGAGCTCCTCTCCCTCCATGTTGCAGTCTGGCTGGCAGCCGATACAGAGATTCATAACTGGTTAAAGTGCCGAGAAGGTCCGTGGTGAGTCTGAGCTAGCCTACACTACACAGTGAGTTCAGGTCAGCCAGGGCACAGAAAGATCCTATCTGAAAACAGCAGTGCAGGGCAAGTGGCCACGGAGCCGGCGTCTGCGGGAGCCGTGAGGGCAACTCACCCACTAAAGGCACGGTTGACTCTTCCGTGACTATCAATCAGGGAAATTTACTTTGATGGACACAAGTAGGCGTTTTTGACAATCACCCTTATTTACATAGGCAAATGTGGAGTGGAATACAGTGCCCTGAGCCAGCTGGGATTTCACACTGCCCATTTCCATAATGAGTACTCAAAAGGCCGAGTCAATACTCCTTCCACTGGAACGTGTAATAGCTTGTAATAACAGAGGGGATCCTTCAATTATTCCAATTAAAATCAGAACTGGGATGGAAAAAGCCCCGACTCTCCCTTTGCAGGGTCAACAGTGAAACCCTGAAGAATGTGCTTGGCTTTCATTGGCTTGTAAAACAAGATATCAGCTCTGACCCGAAAGCAGACACTTCAGGAGGAAATATATGGACTTGTTTTCCTGCAACTGGAGATACACGCTGGAGCACAGAAAAACCGGCTTGCTGTGCACCAACGAAGTGACAAGCTCCGGGCAGTGTAACTCATCCTGCCCTCTGAATAGTGGCCCTTCCGCTGCAGAACTAAAGCAAGAATAAATATTTGGGTGTTTTTTTTTTGTTGTTGTTGTTGTTGGTTGGTTTTTGTTTTGCTTTTTTTTTGTTTTTGTTTTGCTTTTTTGTTTTTCTCTTTACTTTTTGGCTTATCCTAAAATCAGTTCAAAATATTTACATTTTAAAGGATGTTTTGAACTGTAGACGATTTGTCATTACAGGGTCTTCAGAGTAGCTGTCTGAACTGAAGCCAGACTCATCTATGTGCACAGCAGCTATCCTCACACAGGTGAGTGTCCATCTTAAGGAGCTTCTTATGAAGGGGACCTTCTACTCTTGTAATATGACTATTTCCTAAATACTTATTTATATTTGTGTGTGTGTGTGTGTGTGCCGGGTATGTGCACATGACATATTGCACACATGACAATTGCCTAAGGAGATCCAAGAGGACGCTGGATTGGATGTGAGCCCCCTAACATGGGTGCTGGGAACCCAGCTTGAGAGTTCAGCAAGAAAAGTAAGTGCTCTTAACCAAGAGCCATTTCTCAGCCCGCAGAGCGAGTATTTCACCATCTGCCATGAAGATGTGTTCCAGCGACTCCGGACAGCTCAGACGTGCGGCATCACGCTGGCAGTTTCTACTCCGGTTTTCTTGCAGAGCCTTTGCCATGATGCTGTTTCTTTACCGTCCCCTTCCAATACCCATAGATCACCAGAACCCGAAAGCACACTTTTTCTAGAAGCTTCTAAGCATAATGAATTACACAGAGTTATAGAGAAAACCCCAACAGCATCACTCTTGCTTACCCAACCAGCTCTAGGGACATTAATCACACTCTGCTGGCTGCTACCGTTTATTTCATTGCGACTCTGACACCTGCCCCGTCTGTATATCATCCACACGCCGCCCTGTTCCCATCACAGACGCTGCCAGCGTATTTGCTGAGAGGCTGTTGCCTATGGCTACGATTACACTCAGAGAAGAGGAATGGGGCACATCTAACCTTTTCCTGGCTGACTAAAAACAGAGACCCTAAGAGAAACGTTCTGTTTAGGGTGACTCACCAAGGTTCGTCTCCGCACTTGACTCTCACAAACCACAAACCGAGAAGAAAAAAAAAAGGAAGCGTATCTCTGAAATTTGCTAGAAGCCATTTGTTGTTCTTATGGAGAGTGAATGTCTTCCAGGGTTCTTAGTGTTGAAGGTCTGGGGAAGGTTATTTTGTTTTAACATTACATGTTGCAAGCACACACATGTACACACACACACACACAGGTACAGCCACACGAACACACACCACCACTTAGCTATAGCTGAAGAATTTGGGGGTTACCTCTTGAGTTAAGCCTGGCCCTTACAATGGTGGTGCCTGCATGCAGTTTTGCCTTTGGCCCACTTCACTCCTGATGCCCCTGCTGTCGTCCAGTGACTAAATTCATTCCTGTAGTTTTAGCTTCCATACATACGCTTAGAATTCCCAGTCAATGGACCATCAACCTGGCCTTGGGCTCCACACTGAGTGCCTGGTGAGCGTCTAGACTTTACCACACTCAAAACTTTCACAGTCAGCTCCTTGTTGTCTCGCATCCCACTGGGAAAACTACAGCCACCACTACAGCAACCACCGGCTGTACCTCTTCTGTCGACTGTTACCCTTCCCTTCCACCTCGCTGGGCAAAAGAAAATGTGGGCTCAGTCCAGATCTTGTATCAGAGAAGTACAAACTGTGGACCTTTATTAATATACGAAGCTCTTATTTTATTTATGGAATATTATTTTTTTTACTGTGTGTGTATGAGTGTTCTGGCCCATGCATGTCTGTGTATCATACTCACATGGTGACCAAGAAACCAGAAGAGGGTTCAGATTTCCTGGAACTGGAGTTACAGATGGTCGTGAGCCTCTGTGGACGCTGGGAATCAAACTCCAGTCCTCTGGAAGAGCAGCAAGTGCTCTTAACTGTTGAGTCCTCTCTACTGCCCCATGCATGAAGTTTTATTGAAACACAGAAATACCCAGATATTTGTCACCAATGTTCACAACTCTCGGCATCAATCACATATTCCAGTGTGGCCCGGCCCTTCACACACATAATGGCTTGTGGGTCTCTGTTTTAGTTAGCAGTTCCCACACACTTCAAAGACTAACTAGTTTTGTCTTCTAGGTATCTTTCATTTACCTTATGACATCTTAAATCTTAGCCCTGGACATCTCTCACCATAAGTCCTCTCTTAGCCCTTCCCCTCACTGCCCTAGAGGGACACACCACATCCCTGTTTGTTAGGACAGTTTTGCACACATCTCTCTATTGCTTCTGTCCATCTTGTGAGCACAGATCCTGACGCAGCAGTTTTTGTTCCCGACTGTCTTTCTGAGAACATCTCTGTGGCAAACATCCTTAGAGACGTGATGTCTCCCTTCAGGACAAAGAGCAGGTCTGTTTGCTTTCGGCACTAATAAAGATAACATCTCCCTTAAAGCAAAGCTTAGGCAGGCTTGGATGTATCCCTCATAAAATATTATTGAAGGAGCCATAGAGATAGTCCCATGCTGATGAGCACTGACTGCTCTTGCAGAGGTCCATGGTTCAATTCCCAGCACCCACAACTGTGGCAGCTCACAACTGTCCCAGGGATCTTACACCTTCTTCCAGCCTCCACAGGCACCAGGAACATGGGGTGCACACTTGTACATGAAGGCAAGACAGTCACACACATAAAATAAAATTTTAAATTTTAAAGTAATTAAAACAAAGTGTTGAAGTCTAACCTCATGATACCTGAAATCTATATTAAACCTACTGTGTGTACAATGTGCACTTGAGTAAATTCTGTTATAAACCTACTGTGTATACAACATGTACTTGGGTGAACGGTTATAAGCCTACTGGGTATACAACACACACTGGGACTACCTTTCTGTCACCCCATGGAACTCAGAGAGCAAGGTGAACCACTGTGAATGTAAAGATGATGCTGCCTGCTGTGCCTTAAGAATCAAAGTCTTTTTCCTCTGGTCCTGGAGTCTTATGTTTTCAGTAGCATTAAAGAAACTAAAAGCCTAACTTGTCATCAGGCAAGAAGACAAAACTCCCAGATTCTTCCTAATCCTAATTCTTGAAGCTCATTTCCTTCTTGTCTCTTTCCACTCATTGGAGATTCAAGTCCATGTTGTTCAGCCCAAGCACTTAGGCCCTCAATGGCCCGAGTGCACCCTTTCTACTCGGCTAAACCCCCATACCCCATACTTCCCGTATGCTCACTCATAGGTCGAAGCTGCTCATAGCTCTTCACATCTTATTCAGAGTTTCCCCATCTCTGCTCACACAAGCTTGCCTCTAGCTCCCCTTTCCCTTAGCCCTAACACCATGACCAGCAGCGACTTACGGAAGGAAGAGTTTATTTGGGCTTCAGCTTCCAGAGAGATAAGAGTCCAGCATGGCAGGGAGGCATGGTGGCAAGTTACAGGAGCGGGAACCTGAGTGCTCACCTCTCCAAAGGCAAGCAGAAAGCAGAGCGAGTGAACCTGAAATGAGAGGAGGCTCTGTAAGCTCCGTGTCTGCTCCCGGTGATATGCTTGTACCACCCAAACCTCTCCAAACAGCACCAGTGAGCGACCAACTGTTCAGGTGCCTTGGTTGACAATCTCACTCAAACCCCACACCGCCCTTCTTCCTTGACCTGCTAACCCTGCGTTCACACTTAGAGCACACCTCAGGCATTATCTCCTTCTGAGAGCCGTCATCCACAGCCAACCCCAGTACCCTCCCTACAGGTTCAGAGATGGCCGCTGAACAACTTGATGACAGTTCTTGCCAGGGTTTGGAGAGTGTCGATTTGTGGGCCTATCCCCCCCATCATGCACTGGGTACCTTGAGTAAAGAGACAGCGTCTTCTTCATCTTGATGCCCAAGATCTGATTTGGTACCAGCACTTGTTGCTCAGAAACAAGCAACACTGAGGAGCTGAGCGCTAATGGGTTCCATCTTGTCACTTGGAGGGAATGAAAAAAAATAAATTTTCATTTATGTTCTTAAGCTGAGAAAATTTCTTTCTTGTTTCCTTCCTAAATATTATCTTTTCTTTTGAGATATGACCCATTGAGACTCAAAGTATAGTCAAATAATATTGGGACCTTCTCGACTAAGAATTTAATAAATGTTCCAGAAAGGTTTCATACTCTCCAGATCTAGTTACATTCCCCAGGCCTTATTGGAACCATCAAATGATTCCTGTTATCAGTAACTAGGGAGAAAGATGGGCCAAGTCTTCAGCAGCTCCCCCAACCCATGGCTCTTCATGGCTCCCTGCCTGCCACATCTCACCTGATGCGCCCCCACTTTTCTCACACCCAAGTTATCTCCCAGTCTCCCAGATCACACACCTTATTCTTTTCTTCCCCACCAACCTTCCTCGGACGGCAATCTCCTTTTCAAACTTTAAGCGTACCTCCAGAAATATGCTGAGTCATGCAAGAGAATACAAACCATGCAAACAGGCCTGCTCTGGCCAGAGGACTCTGACGTCTGGAGACCGCCTCAATCAGGGCCATGGGCTGTCAACTCTGAGTGTGGAGAATCTTCTAGCTATTTGGTAGCAAGTTTGGGGGAGGATATCATCAGAGTGTTCAGGATTATCTCATACACAGAGCTCCATCCCTACATCCACTGCTGGAGAATTCAGAAGGAAGCTGAGAAAAGACCCAGTTTGGTGACATCAGCCTGTAATCCTAGCACTTGCAAAGCTGAGGCAGGAGGGTTTCTGTGAGTTCAGAGCCAGCATTGGTTACAGAATGAGACCTGTATTAAACATAAAAAAGAAAAAACGAAGAGAAGAGGAAGAGGGGAAGGGGGGGAAGAAGAAAGGAGGGAGGAAGGGAGGGACAGAGGGAGGGAGGGACGGAGGGAGGGAGGGAGGGAGGGAAGGGGGATAGAAAGTTTGTCACCCTAGTTTCTCAAAATTTCAACTCATAATCCTGCTTGTGTAACTAAAATACTCAAGGCCTAGCAGACTCCTCTCCAGAGGAAGCAGGGTTCTGAGGAGATTGACACCGAGACCATCTCCAGCTCAAATGAGCCTACAAACACAACCCACAGACACAGTCGGCCAAGCGAATGCCAGGCTGTGCATTGCAAGCCAGGGCTGTGGCGGCTCATGAAAGGGCTGCAGTAACCCCACACCAAGCTTCCTGTAGGTGCATTATATACATCCTGGTGGACAATCCCATCCTATAGCTTTAATGTCTCCTGCTAATCCTCTCTGCCAACTCCCATGAGGAAATCAGCTAATCCTGGAGTGATGTCGTCAAAAGCATTAGTGCTTTGAAGAAGTACATGATGGCAGAAGGTGACATCCTGTCCTCACCTCAGGCTGCGTCGCAAAACCAAAACACTCGCTCCCCTCCCCAGTGCAAACAGAACTGTGAACTAAACACAAACGTGTATTACTCCAAGGCAAGTTCATAACAGCTAGTTTATCTCTTTCTCAAGTTCTTCCTGACTTCCTGGGGAAAGGTAACATCGAGGTACATAATCCACCAAAGTGGGAATAAATTAAACACTGTGTCTTCCTATGAGTGAGAATAGTCACAAATTTCAAAATATCAAATGGAAACATTGAACCATAAAAACAAAAATATTTATCAAATTTTTTCTTCTCAGAAAGACTAGACATTGCTCATCCCTTTTTGATCATTTATTTTAATAATATTTTATTAATCCTTTGGGAATCCATACCATGTATTTTGGTCAAAACCACACATACCCCCAACTCTCCCTAGATCCACACCCATCTCCCCACCCACCCACCTCTGTGTCTTCTTGTTATTGTTGTTGTTGTTGTTGTTGAGCCCTCTGAGTGCAATTGTGTCGCCCAGATGTTCTTGGGTGTAAGGCCACCCCTGTGATTGACATGTCAGGAGCCATATCTTTATAGAAAACTCTCCTCACTCCCAGCAGCTCCTCTCTAAGGCTCAGACTTGGTGCCCATCTCTCTCCTCCAGGCTGGGATTTTTGTCTGACCCATGTTTTTATTTTGTATAAATAAATCTTACATCTAATTTATCTTTTTAAGATAGTAAGAAATGGTTATAGCAAAAAAAAAAGGCAACATTATGGTGAATTAGATCACACAGTTCCCTACAGCTCCCACTGTATTATGGTGTATTAGATCATTAGTGACAAACATATAGACCACATCGTTGTCTATTTCTTAAGATTAGCACTTTGGAGGAGTTCAAAATCATAAAAACCTATCGATGTCCTGAACAACAAAATTCTGAGCAAGCGACTCTTAGTGGAGGATTTAATGCAAGACGGCTAGAGTAGCTCTCCAATATGTCCACAAAGCAAGCTTATGCGATCTGCAAAAGAGAACAGCAACAAGAAAGGCCTCTCATATTTGCGGGTTCAAATTTCTCCCCAAATACCAGGGGGATTAAATTCATCTGCAGGAGATTCTGGTGTTAATCCTGCAACACTAATTAGACCCTCTCCAGGATTGTTTTAGAAGCACTTACTTTAGTTGTCAGCCTCCCAGGTGCCAGAAGTCTCTGCAGAACATCGATGTCATGCTTGGGTAGGGGACAGCTGCAGCCGGCTTCGCTGTGGGCTGTTCCAGGCGGCCGGCTGTGCTGATGGTTACAGGGCAGTGTTCTAGGCAGGCTGTGGTTTCCTTGGTGCTGGTATTGGGCTGGACCTGGTCAACAGCGTTAAGCATGAGCCGAAACCAAGGTGTGACAATCACTGTGTCCAAACAGCTGTGTGTGGAAGCCTGGCTTTCCTGGAGCTCGTGTGCTTATTATAGTTGTAGGAATTAAAATTCAGGCCGTCTCCTCTTACAAAAGCTTGTTAGCAATTGAAACGTCCGTAGTTGCGTTGTCATCCTAGAGACCCCACTGCGCTGTCTACACTACAGTGCGCTGACTTCTCCCATCACCACCACCCCACGCTCGTTATAGCGGCCCAGGGCCAGGCAGGAGTCTGCAGCGCCCTCAGGCCCCTCCGGAGGGATGCTCTTGCACTGGCTCCCTTCCGTGAATGAGCACTAACTTGCCCTCCTCATTTCTCGCCTGGCCACCATGTCCCCAGCTCTACCTTTGCCCTGAGAAGGAGGATCATATTATGATATCCGGCCAAGAGGCTGACTTCGCAGCTGTCTGTGGCCCTGCTGTCTTGGGGCCCACTTTTTTTCTTTGAAGCATAATTTCTTTATTGATTTTTTGGGAATTTCACATGACATACCCCAACTCTGCTCATCTCCCAGTCCCCTCTTATCCACCCCTCACCTTTGCAGCATCTCCCTGCAAAAAACAATTTGAAAAGAATGAAAACAAAAAACAAAATAAACAAGCAAAGATACCTTTCTTTTTTATTCCTTTTGTTTTGTTTTATTTATTTCTTTATTTATTTATTTTTTCTGTGTAACAGTCGTGGCTGTCCTGGAACTTACTTGGTAGACCAGGCTGGCCTGGAGCTCACTGAGATATGCCTGCCTCTGCCTCCCAAGTGCTGGGATTAAAACCGTGTGCCACCACCTCCTGAACGAAAACCCTCTTTACCCTCTTTCGTGGATAGTTTTCTGACTTGCGGCTCTTCTGGTCCTCGTTACAGGGCTCCGCCATCTTGCCTACCTTGTGTTCAGGTTGTGAATATTTTCTTAAGTTTTACTTTGCAGAGTTATTTTAAGTCCATGCTGCATGTATCCATCACCGTTCTGGTTACCCTGACAACAGACCTGACAAAAAGCAGCTTAAGGAGGAAGGGTTCATTTGGGCTCATGGTTGGAGACCTAGTTCATTATGACGAGGGAGCCTTGGAGGCAGGAGGGTGAGGCAGACGTTCACGTTACGTCAACATTACGTCACATTGCGTCAACTGTCTGATGCAGAGAGAGACGAGTCCTGCTGCTTAGTTCTCCCTCTCTCCTTAATTCAGTCAGCTCCCCAGCACATGGCACGGTACTGCTGTTGTTCAGGGCAGCTCCTCCCTCCTCGGTTAAACCTTTCTGGAAACTCCCAGACACACTTGGGTGTCCTAGGAGAGTCGGAACCCCATTGGGTTGACACGAAATTCTCCATCGCCCAGCAGGTGCATCCTTGAGCGGATTGCTGAAACCAGGCATGCCCCCCTGGTGCAGACAAAACCCACAGTATTCCTTCCTCCCTTGCTCCTCCCGGAGCTGTATTCTGCTCATTCTGCCACGGGACCCGAAGGCAGGAGCGACTTCAAAGTGAGGATTTAGGGCAAGCAGACTCTTAAGAAACTAGAAAACACTCTGTTTATAGCCGACGCTGCTGATGTAAGAGTCTGTTGTTTTTACCTATACTCCATGGCAGGGGAAGCAAGGATAGTCCTTCGCTTCTTAAAAAGAAAATAAGCCCTTGTAGACCAGGTTGGCCTCGAACTCACAGAGATCCACCTGTCTTTGCCTCCCAAGTGCTGGGATTAAAGACGTGTGCCACCACTGCCCGACAGTAAATGTAATTTTTAAAGGCTGTCCCACGGGTCTGTGCTGGGGATTAATGTATGATCTGCTGTATAGTTACTGAGAGTTTAATCACTACAGTTTCCTACTTCTGGTTATACAGCGGGTCTTTCTCCAGAACAAACCATTAGAATTTCAGCATAATAAGGACAGTTGGGAGGGGGTGCTGTAGTCTGGAGTAGGGGGGTCTGTAGTCCAGAGGGAGGGGGTCTATACCCCCAGGCCTGGGCCAGGAAGAACCTGAGGCAGAAACTGAGGTCTGTTAGTCTCTGTGTGTGAGTTCCACAGGACACGTGCCAAAGAGCCCGTGGAGTGAGTGGAGACCCTTAAAGCTGGCAATGCTCTAGGCCCAGGTTTGCTGGGGCTTCCAGTTGCCAGGAATGGCCCCTTGCAGGTGTGGGGCAGGCTGTTTTCTGTGAGTCTCATACACGTTGTTTCAAGTCTACTCCACCAAACTCTCCTTCTCACCAAACTCTGTAGGCTACTTCTCCAGAAATAGGGACCTTATCTAGGGTTGCTGTGCACATGCGTGCCCCGAGAGCATGTGGGGGTCAGAGAAAGCTCTATGGAGAGGGTGCAGGGCCTGATGGGAAGTGGCCAGGCTTGCAGGAAAGCTCCTTTTACCCACACGGTCACCTCACTCGCCCTCAGGTTTTTCCTTTTGAAAATTAATATTATTTTTTATCTTCCCCCCCCTTCCAAAGACTTACGTGATTTCAAAGTCCTTCTTTTAAGTTATGACCTTTGTAGCTGCAGCAAAGATGTGACCCTCATCTTTGTGTGTCTAGTATTTAATGAGCATTTTCCTCGCAAGTGCTGGTGGGATACCTTCTGCTGTCTTAGAGTTATAATTATAGAAATTATCCCCTGCCTTTCCAGGCTAGTTTTTATTATTTTCTATAGTTTTTGTGCATCGGTTTCAACCTCCTCCCTATGTTTTATATTTATTCTAGTTATTTTCTTTTTCTTTTCTCCCCTCCTTCTCCCCCACAACACACATTTATTGTCCTGTGTTCTTTTAATACTGTTAAGTTTTGGTTAGTGTACAAAGAGATGGGCTTGGCGTGACCGTTTCGTACACACATGCTTGTTCCCCACTGCCCTCCCCGTCTCCCATCTTTCCCTTCCTTCCAGGAAAAAGCACCCCTCAAAGTTTGCAGCCATGCATCACTATCTGAGTTGAGTCACCCACCAGCTGTGGGAGCGGCTCCCCAAGTCAGGCTCACTTAGCTCCAGGGAGGGGTGAAAGGCTGGGGCGTGGAACAGGGAACAACCGTCCTCTTAGAAAACGCTACAAGATAAACGTGCCAGTTGAGTGCGTCTCATTTAATCTTCTAACCACACCATCAATTAGGTTCTATTTTTATCCTCATTTTGCAGTGGAGAGAACTCAAGCTCGTAGGGATTTATATATGAAATCGGGGGCCGGAGAGATGGCTCCGCGAGTGAAGGAGAATGTCATACCACCCCGATAACCTGCATGGGTCCCTGGAACCAAGAAACCACGATGGAAAGAAAGAATCCACTCCTGAAAGTTGTTCTCTGACCTCCACATGCGTGTCCTGACGTGTGTACACCCGTGCTCACACATGTCACACACACGCACGCACACACACACACCAAACAAAATAGAAAATTTTAAGGAATTCCAGAGGAGCCTTTGGTGAGGGGAAAGCAGGGCAGACGACAGAGAGGAAAGGCCAGAGGGGAGGGTGGGGGTGCTTAGTTCAGACTTTCACTTGTGTTGAGGGGAAACTCGGGGCATGTAAACATATGCATGCCCCAACAGAGAAAGGCTGAAATCTTCAGGTGATTTCAGAGCAGTGAGGGCAAGCGGGGGTCGAAGAGACAATGACAATCGCTGACAGACGTGGACATCAACCACACCGTGTGAGTGACATAGTTCTGTGTGAAGAGTGGAGAATATGCAGACTTGTGATCCTAGAGAGCCCAGACTTGTGAGTTCACCGAGCCACAGGGGATGGGGGAGGGCCTTGTGCTCAGAGCTTCACAAAGAATTGAGTTCCCAGGTTTGGCACTCACAAACAAATCAAACCTGCACCATCAAGTCCTGAGAAGTGTTTGGGTGGTGGCGCAGTGTGAGCCACGCTGACCTTGCTCAGAGTCACCTCTGAACTGGGTGGGAATCCCGTGACCCTGAGTTGCAATGGTGAATGGGAAGTCCAAGAGAGGAGCTCAGAATTCAGTGGGGAGGTCTGAAGGAAAAGAGCAAAATGGGTACTGCAGGGAACCCATGTCAGCAGTGGGAGACGCAGGAGCTGGGGTCAGGAGCACGCTGTTGACTAGTCTCTTAATGCTTAATGCTTCCTAAACAATAGATCCATGTCAGACAAAATGACTCAGCTCCGTCCAGGCACTCAGTGATGTTCGGGGACCGAAGAACAAGTCTCAGTAAAATTGTCTAGAGCAGAAATAGCGGACAACAGAGAACCATGGGAGAGGGGAGGCTCCTGGTCTAGCTCAGGGGTCAGGGAAGCTGGTGACCGTGACCGACAGACAATCAACAGAAGTGGGACAGCTGCAGACAGCAGGCAGCTCATGAACGAAGCGGAGTGTGTTCAGTGTGGCTGAACAAGGACTCCAGGGCTGAAGGAGAAGTTCCCGGAGAAGTGGGGGTTGAATTCAGAGCACAAAGAGTTCTGCTTGCCACATCACAGGATTTGAGTTCTTTCTGATAACACCTAGGGAGGTTTTAAGTGAGCCAAATGTCGGTAACTGTGTCACCAATGTTGTGTTATCTGGTTTGGGTGCTGGGATTGAGCCATGGGTACAAGTCAGCAGCCACTGTACCATTCAGCTAAACCCTTTACCCCTACTCACTTCTTCACATCGAGATCTAAGTCTCCCCAAGTTGCCCAGATGGGACTTGAACTTGTGATCTATCTACCTCAGCTTCCCAAGTAGCTAAGATGGAAAGGCCATACGGCCAGTCCCAGCACAATGGTTGTGCTTTATGACTTAAGAGAAAAGATACTGGATTGAAGGAAGCAACTCGGGAGCCAAGCGGACTGCATATGAATTCACTGTGTCTATGTGCGAGACACGTGACCTGCAGTAGAGAAACTGGGAGGGCAGACATAGACACAAGAAGGGGGAAAATGAC